GAAATAGTAGAAGGTCTCCTGCTTGAGCAGAGGGTTGGACTAGAAGACCTCCAAGGTCCCTTCCAGCTCTATCCTGATTGAAATAGTAGAAGGTCTCCTGCTTGAGCAGAGGGTTGGACTAGAAGACCTCCAAGGTCCCTTCCAGCTCTATCCTGATTGAAATAGTAGAAGGTCTCCTGCTTGAGCAGAGGGTTGGACTAGAAGACCTCCAAGGTCCCCTCCAGCTCTATCCTGATTGAATCCGTGGTCGACTGTTTCCAAGATGGCTTCTCTTTTTCGGCTTCCTACCTGGCTCACTTCCTTCTCTCTTTTTCCCTTCCTGCAGGGAGCATCGTCCAGCCTGGTGGTCAAGTTCGCCGACACGGACAAGGAGCGCACTATGCGCCGTATGCAGCAAATGGCGGGCCAGATGGGCATGTTCAACCCCATGGCCATTCAGTTCGGAGCCTACGGCGCATATGCACAGGCAGTGAGTATCAACACAACCAGGGGGGCTTCCGAGGGGTGGGCATTGCCCTAGAGTTGAAGGTCAGGAGGCATTCCGTACACTACAGGTAGTCCTCGACGTACGACCCAAAATTTAGGTCGCTAAGCAAGACATTTGGAAAGTGAGTTTTGTCCCGCTTTAACAACCTCGGTTGCCGCCTTTGGTAAGCCAATCGCTGCGGTTGCTAAGTTAGTAACACCGTTGTTAAGTGAATCCTGCTTCCCCCGATGGATTTGCTTGTCAACAGGACACAAAAGGGGACTCCTGTGAACCCAGGACACTGCGACCGTCATTAATGTGAGACGGTTGTCAAGACTCTGCATGTAAATCATGTGACCATGGAGATGCTGCAACGGTTGCGTGAAAAAGGGGAATAAGTCCTTTTTTTCCCAGTGCCATTGCAACTGGTCACTAAATGAACTGTCGTAAGTCGAGGACTCTCTGTATCTGGGATATAAGTAGGCCAATCCTGCCTCAAAACCCCTTGGAAACTCAACAGGTATCACCAAGGACCATCTCAAAACTACAAGAGGAGTTGGCCTTCATGAGAGCATCAAATCTCTCTCTCCCTCAATGTCTCTCTTTCTCTTTCTTTCTCTCTCTTCACAGCCAGAGATCCAGGAAGAGGAGAAGGAGGGAGGGAGGGAGAGGAAGGAAGGAAATAGAAAGAGAAAGAGAGAAAGAGAAAAAGAAAAAGTGACAAAGAGAAAGAGAAGAGAGACAAAGAGAAGAGTGAAAGGAAAGCAGAAAGGAAGGAAGAGAAAAGAAAAGAGAGAGGGGGGAGGAAGGAAGGAGGGAAGGATGGAGGGAAGGAAGGAGAAAGAGAGAAAAAGAAAGAGAAAAAGTGACAAAGAGAAAGAGAAGAGAGACAAAGACAACAGTGAAAGGAAAGCAGAAAGGAAGGAAGAGAAAAGAAAAGAGAGAGGGGGGAGAAAGGAAGGAGGGAGGGAAGGAAGGAGAAGGATAGAAAAAGAAAGAGAAACAAAGAGAATGGTGAAAGGAAAGCAGGAAGGAAGGGGAAAGAGAACAGAGAGGGAGGGAGGGAGGAGGGAAGGATGGAGGGAAAAGGAGAAAGAGAGAAAAAGAAAGAGGAAAAAGTGACAAAGAGGAAGAGAAGAGAGACAAAGAGAACAGTGAAAGGAAAGCAGAAAGGAAGGAAGAGGAAAGAGAAAGAGAGAGGGAGGGAGGAAGGAGGGAACGATGGAGGGAAGGAAGGAGAAGGATAAAAAAGAAAGAGAAAGAGAGACAAAGAGAACAGTGAAAGGAAAGCAGGAAGGAAGGAAGGGGAAAGAGAAGAGAGAGGAAGGGATGGAGAAAGAGGAGAAGGATGGAGGGAGGGNTGTGGTGGAACCAGGCAGGATCTCTTTTCCCCAACACCACCAAATGGAATCAATATCAATGAAAGGAAGCAAACCAGCTGCCTACTGTCAGCCTTCTGACCCATTCAGAAGCTCGTTTTGGTTGATGGCATCAAAAGCCACCAAGAGGACAAATGAAGTAAGAACCCTTTCCATCCATGCCAGAGATTATCCAAAAATATGACCAATGCCATTTCCATCCCATACCTGGGTCTGAATTCTGATTGAAAAAGGTCCAGATACTCTGCTTCATGCAGGGTCCTTTCAAGTAGTTGTGCAACCACTTTCTCAACCAAAACGAGGAGTTTAGATATTGGACAAAAGTTGACCAATATGATGAGGTCCAGTGATGGTTTCTTGAGAGGAGGGAAAACCGTTACCTCTTAAGACAGTGGTTCCCAAACTTGGCAACTTTAAGACTTGTGGACTTCAACTCCCAGAATTCTCCAGCCAGCAGAGCTGGGAGTTGAAGTCCACAAGTCTTAAAGTTGCCAAGTTTGGGAACCACTGTCTTAAGAGATAACAAAACAATATTCTGTTTTTTATGACATATAAACCCATAGTTCTAATAGAATACTTTGAAGTGAAGATTATTTTTCATGCGTTATTCAATGTTATTTTAATAACCAAGCAGAAATTAATTTTTCAGAATTCTGTGTCAGAATAGATATTTGTACATCAAAAATTAAACTGCATGCATTGTACTTAATAAATATATTTGAGGAATTGAAACATCCATTTTCCCTGTGTTGTAATGCCTCTCCACAAAGGTGGAAAAAAAACATGATTTTCTTAACCTCTGCTAAAAACTGAAAATTAACCCGCTTGCTTTGTAAATATATTTCTTATCAATATTCCCTTTATAAATATATTTTTAGATTCCTAAAAACTTCAGTTGTAAATAAAAGAGAGAGTACAGAAAATAAAATCAAGATAAATGTATTCAATATCTGCATATATATAATTAAAGCCATGAGATTTAATTAAAAACAGAATACCTGATGATTTCAAGAATAAAGGATCGTGCTTCAAGTAGATTATGTGTGGAATATTTATGGGGATTTTAAGGATATAAATAAGAACAAATGATCTACTGTAGTTTTATTACGAATACACAGAAAATTTCAGATGGTTCAATAAGAAAGGTCAGAAATTGTTTTCAGTGTACTGTGAACGATATTATGATCAACTAAACTGACTAGAGTTTCAGAAGAATTAGTTGGAACCAACATCAGCAACAATCCATTTGCCCAACTAGCAAAAAATTAATTGCAAAACTTAAGTTATTTTGTAAGTTGCACATATGATTGCATGACTGAACCAAACTATTTTCCAGATTATCTAGCTGAGCTTTTTCAGGAAGCCTATCTTCTAAAGCAGGAGTTTTAGAACTTTTTCAGGCCATGGAATCTGTTTATTTAAAAAAAAAAAACTGTCACAAATGCAGGCTTATTCCAAGTCTCTTTTATCTCAAATCCTCCTTTAGCTCAATGTAAATACGGTACACAACCTTAGAATATTGCATCCTGCAGATCATTGATTAATATGCACATATTAAGCAAAATCAATAAATGGCTCAAATGTGAACCCTGTAGAGAACTCTTATATTACGTTAGTTCTATCTTTAAAAAAAAAATAAGTGGATACAAGTGGAATCTAGAGAAAAATATTTCAGTGCATAATATTTTTTGTTCAGCATATCAGTCAATTATGTTCCATTTTCTGTTTTTCTGCTTACAAATGACATCTATAGTAGACTAAATTACACTGCTTTGGGAAGGGAACTTTCCCTGCCCAGATTTTTTGTAACTTTTTGTGTATTTCTTCTGGGCAACCGTAATGAAGTATAGTCAGACTATAAACTGGTTTCTACTACCGGTAGGTGGAATCTAGATAAAAATTTGTTGGATCCAGTGACTGTTTTGAAAGCAAACCAGTTGTCAACTAGAGATATATTAATAAAATATGTCATTACACCAGCATTGCACTGCTAGCAAATCTGACAAAATTGTTAAGAATTTTATAAGAGTTTGTAATTGCAAATTAATACTTTTATATAATAAATAAAGGAGCATTTGAGAAAAGTAACGCAAACTTATTTAAAAAGACCTTCACATTTGAAATATCAGACTTCCAATGTGAAAAAAGACAGAGCCAGTTTAGCTAATACAGGTGCTGTATATATTTAAGCCTTAAAATGAACAGTTGAGAAACTCTGCGTGCGTTTTTAAAATGTCATTTATAAAATTAGGACTACTAATATTAAGAACTTTATCTTATGACAATGTTATTGGAACCTTGAGCAGAGCCAAGGGGAGTTTTAAATGAATTCTGGATATGATCCAGTAATAGTGTGCAAAATATACCATCAATGAGTTGCTCCTTCATAATCTTGAGGGACTGGGTATGACGTTGATGCATAATCTTATTATTATTATTATTTTTAGTAATTTATTGCTTTAGCTTCCTGTCTTCCCATTTGAAAATTAAAGTTGAGTTGAGGAATTCAAACAGAATTGTGTAGAGGTTCATAAATAGTCAATTGCTTAGAGAGCCAGTTTGGTATAGTGATTAGGAAATCAGGTTATGAGTTCTAGTGTTGCCTTAAGTACAAATCCAGTTGGGTCGCCTCGGACCAGTTACTCTCTCAGTCCCGCGAAGGAGACAATGGCACACTATTTCCAAACATCTATAGAGAATGGTGATCTAGGCAGTTGCCAGGATTTAACACTGACTTGAAGGCACAGTATAAATAAAACATTGCTTGGACAGACGAAAGAAAAGTTCCAGCCACATGACACAACCTATCAATCAAGTCCTTGAGAATATTTTTGTTTGAGTGCAAATCCATCGTGCTTAACATAAATAGGTAATAACAATGTGCAGAGGAAGGTAATCAGCCTCATATTTTTTTTAAAAAAAGATGTTTTTTCTAACTTATTTATTTATTTATTAGACTTATATACCGCTTCATAGGGCTTTCAGCCCTCTCTAAGCGGTTTACAGATTTTTTTTAGCA